ACACGCTTCAAACTTCGGATATGTTTATTTTCGGCCGATATATATATAGGACTACTATGGCGTTTCCCGTTTGCCGTTGCTCGGTGCCTGAAAGTAATTTGCATTGTTGAAGCTGAACGAGTGTAGACGACCAAATAAGAAAATACGAGGATGGACTGTCCCGGCACTGGCAACGGAAACTACGAATTTTATTATTTTTTTAATTTATTTTTCAACACAGTCCCCAAAAAGACTCAAAAATCATGTTAGCTGACAAAATTGTCTTTGCCTTTGTTGTCCACTTTTTTTACTGTTTTTATTTCAAGAGTGCTATAGTAGATCCATGTGGCAGCTATAGCTCGAAGCAAGAATTTCATTTATAGAGTGCCAAATTCTCACTATTCCTTTCAAATTTTTAACCAGTGAATATGATTGCCAAGAGTCTTTCAGTGTTAACAAGCAAACAAGATGATTGGCGAAACATCAACGATTCATCAAGAACCGACACAGAGAAAACCAGAATATTTGTAAGTAGCATTTCAGAAGTTTCTTTGAAAAATTATAGTAGAGGCGCCATCTCTATATCAAGTGCGGGACTTGCCGTAGCAACCTCGTATTCCGCCACATTTCTGGGTTTTCTGCGACATTTTTTTGTAGAGAATAAATTTTAAAATTCCTTTTATAGAAAAAGACTCTAAAATTATGTTAGCTGAAAAAATTGTCTTTGCCTTTGTTGGAGCAGGGTAACCGGTTGCTGTCCACTGTTTTTACTGTTTTTTAATTTCAGGAGTATAGTGGTGGTTCGATGTGCAAGAATTCATCAGAATTACATTTATGGAGACCAAATTCCCACTTGTCTACTCACTTTTGCTACCCACCTTTTAAACATTGAATATAATTTTTTAGAGGCTTTTAGTGTTATCAATCTCATTGTTTATTTCAGAAGGCGTTAAACCCTTTAAATGAAAATATTTTATTACTGCGCGATTTTCAAAATCTTCCATTTTTAGTTAAGGCGAGTACTATATGTCAAGTGCGGGAGTTGTCGTAGCAACCTCGTATTCCGCAACATTTCGGGGTTTTCTGCGACATCTTCTTACAGACAATAAATTTCAAAGTTCCTTTCAGCAATTAATGATAACGAAAATAAATAAAACAAGTATGTTAAATTGAAAACGAAATTCTTCCGGAATAGAAAAGATGTTTCCAATTTTTTGGCGCATGGTTTATTTAAATTCCTAAAGTTTTCTTAGTGTTGTAGCAGAGCTTATGCTTTGTTTACTGGCCCAAAAGAATGCAATTTAAATTATTAATTATCTTTAAGAGTATAAATAAAGTCGCAAGTGCTGTTTATCTGTCGGTGAGTGTGTCAGATACTGTTCTCTCACACTCTCCTCATAGACAGATAATGATAGTTACAGTGTAATAACTTCAAATATATATATATATATATATATATATATATATATATATATATATATATATATATATATATATATATATATATATATATATATATATATATATATATATATATATATATATATATATATATATATATATATATATATATATATATATATATATATATATATATATATATATATATATATATATATATATATATATATATATATATATATATATATATATTCTTACCTCTCAATCTCAGGGTCGTGAAAAAGAAACGCATTAATTAATTAAATTCGTGATTTAATAGTGAGGTAAGACAATGCCTAGGCTAGCTCATTAGCAATCAAGAAGGATTAATAAAGTAGGGAAAAAAAATACTAAATCAAAGCCAAGTTGGAAGGCGGTGAAGGGCACCTCGGTCATGTCCCGGAAGGTGGTAGGTAGGCGCCACGTGATTCGAAAAAGGTAAACTTATCAACCCGAGGTTCCAACCCGTAAAGGAAATAAACAAGTGAATCACGAACAATAATTTATTTCCTTCAACCTGGTGGTCGGCGTGAGTGTCAAATCTAACCTTCAAGTTTTGGCGGTGCAAAAGAATGTAAGACACTATAAATTAAGACTATGAGTTCCGCAAACCGTTCTTGAAGAGAACAGGCCACTTAAGCTACCCAAACCTCAAGCTGTCCCGAACGTTACACAGCTGTCTGTCACTATCCCGGGAACCAAGCCAAGATGGAATGGTGGCTCAATGTGACAGCCGCAGGTGGGCAGACCCAGTTAACCCAGCAAAGTCCGTCCGGAAAGCAGGCTGCTCGATAGGGGAAACTCCACAACTAAACATGTACCCAAGAGACAGCATACACTGCAAGACACCAAGTCTGGTCTGGTATTCCGGTGAAAGAAGAAACCACGTGGAAGGTTTGCGGGAAACGGAGCAAGAATACGTACAATACTCGATTCGAGGGTTTTCTGGAAATGTGGGGCAATAACAATTCTTTTCAAAATCCCTCGTTGAGGAAGATTCCCATTCCAAACTCCAAATAGATCCAAAAGTATGGGAAATCATAAATTAGTGAGCAATTTACATATCCCCCTCTTATAGGGGTAGCACTGCCGGCTCAAAAAGAAATCGGTCACACAAAAGAAAACCTGCCACAACCCCAAGCTTCAAAAGCTAGCGTACAAAATGCCGGACGATTCAGACAACCAGTTTTATTAAAAGGCTAAACGAGCAAAAAAAATTAGAGGGAAAACGCCAACCGAACTATATCTGTGGTGATGGCCGTATGGCCCGTGCCAAAGAATCGAGATTGCGTCAACGAGATCGAACTACCCGAACGCTATCTATGGTGGCGACCGGACGGCCAGTCACAGAAAATCGAGGAAGAATAGGTTAAGAAACAAAACAATGTTTACTAGTCTCGCCAAGGAATACCGAAGCAATGAAAAGCAAATGTGGTCCCTAGTCTCATAGGGTGACAGATGGTAATGGTTATGACTCCTTCTAATGCGCAACTAATATTCTGTTTTTTGCATTAGTATCTCTCAGTAAACCGGTGTCACTTAAGAGAAAACCAAGCGAACAAGGGGCCACGCATACAACCGTTGCAGCATAAAATATTTATGGTTCGGCAACACAATCGGCCGGGGAGTACAATTCCGAAACTAAAGGAACCGAGTCTACAAAAGAACGTGTGTTCAAATCGCAAAATCGATATGAACCTAATAAACAAGAATTTTAATTGTTAAGAAGCACTCGCCAAACAGCAAAAGGTGAAGGAAATGGACAGTACAATTAATTCTACAAGGTACTAATAAAATAAACCCGTTACTTCGCAAATGTGCCAGCACTGGTACTTTAAAAATGCTAAATTTTACCATTGAAATATGAAACCGTCACAATATATATATATATATATATATATATATATATATATATATATATATATATATATATATATATATATATATATATATATATATATATATATATATACATATATATATATACATATATATATATACATATATATATATACATATATATATATATATATATATATATATATATATATATATATATATATATATATATATATATATATATATATATATATATATATATATATATATATATATATATATATATATATATATATATATATATTTAAATTTAGACTTTATTGACTTTAAATATTCTATGAACTTTTAGAATTTCCGGCAAAACTATCCATGTTATCAATGAATATTTAATTACTACTATCTATTACTATCTAATTAACTCTAACTATTCTAAATATAAACTTATCGGCTCTCTTATGGGGCTATGAGTTAATTATTCATCATTTAATTTGAAACCGCGGGGGTCTAGTCTGTTCATAGATATAAGAAAGTGACCAATTGCTTTTGAATGAGATTATCCAAGGGTGGTCATTAACATGCAACGAGATTATTACTTAAAGTTTCCGAATTTAAATTCGGGTAAAATTGTGGTCCGTAATAGAAAATAATTTTATACCTATCTATATTCTTTGGTTTGATATACTACTTAGTTGGATGAAACCTGGTTCGACACTTATGATACCCCGGAAAAGGGTGGGGTTGACTCAACTGATAAGTGTAAAACAAACGGGCCATCAAAAAGAGGTAAAAGAATAACTATTTTGCATGCTGGCTCTAAAGATGGTCCCTCCACAAAGTTGGGCAAATTCTGTTAAACATATAGAAAAAGCAGAACAATCGTATATCCATATTGCAAATAATATAGAACAAATAATAATTAGAACAGCCGATGATAGCGATAGTGATACTGATATATCATGTGAATAATTTTAAGTAATTTAAGTAGGTAATAAAAATAATTTGTAATTTTATTTTAGATTTAAACATAAATACATAAATAAATAAATAAATATTGTTTAGTACCTTTCCTAAGAAAACCCCAAATAATTAAATTCTAAGCAAAGTACTGGTAAGCAACTGGCCCGGGTCTTTCCTTAATTTGTATCAGTTAGTCAATTTCTTATATCTATGAAGAGACTTTACATACAACTGATGTCCGGTTATCTGAGAAAAACTGAGCAACATTGGTATGTATTAGAAGGGCCAATGGAAGGCCACAGATCACAATTATAAGTGAGCACATTCACTACACGAGCCAGCGCAAACTTATTCACTTGCAGAGCACTGAACTAACCAAACGAAAGACAAGATGGCTAAGGCATGTTATGTGGCGACTCTATCGCAGAAACATTCAGAAGGGAACTTCTAGATCTAGAGCACTTGAGAAAAGAAACTCATAGTGTTCTTCTAATATAATCTAATAATCCAATCTATTTTGAATTTTTTGTTGCTTTTATCTGACTTAATAGCTCCATTATTGTTTATTTATTTTGTATGCTTTTTTTAGACTCTAATACACCTGAACCAACTCCAATAGAATACGATACCAACTTATTTTCCGATAGGGTGCTCAAATAAACACCTCACTAGCGTCAAACAGCCGCTTGTCCTTTTAAAAAATAACATTTAGAAAATATAGGGAAAACTTTATTTTAACATAGACAGAGGGTTAAGAAAGTGAATGTCGAAAATCAATTACTTACTTAGGTATGGACATGAGGTACTGAAGGAGCCTGCGGTAGTCCTCGGGTTTCGCCCGTTCGCGTCGCGGGCTGGCCGGAAAGGACAGGACCGGACCGCCACGTCTATCGCGACCTCCTGTCAAAACGACGAGCCGTTCCTGGAGGAGGGGCATCAGTTCGAGAGCTCGCTGGCCGTCCATGACTTGTTGAGCTGAAAGTGGTGAGAGGAAAAAATTAATAAAAGTCAACAACCCGGTTAAGATTACAAAGGGTATAACCGCTGGTAAGTGTACAGGGTGGTCCAAATTCCAAAATTAATATGAATATTACGGGCTCGATTTTCGAGAGAAGTCGAAAACTAAAAACCGCATCATGATATGTCAAAGAGTTTCTGAGCTACAGGGTGATTCTTAAAAAAAATATGTTTCTAAAAACCCTCTAAAACTTTTTTATTTGTAAAGATAGAAATTTTTATTAAAAACATTTTTTGAAGATTTTTAAGGGCATATCTACCTGTTTCATCGATTTTGTCTTAAAGCCTTTAGTTCACGAGATACAACACAAAGTTACATTTTTTTAAATAGAATACCACAATTTAGAAAAAAAAGTTTTCTAATAAAAATTTCCTGTCCAACGATGTGCCATACACCTATTTTTAAGCTCTCGAAGCCTGGGCGAGAGACCGGGCCGCGGGGGGCTGGAGAGTTGCTCCGGGAATGAGGCGGGCGAGGCTTATGATGGATGGGCCCGCCCTTCCTCGGACCAGGGAGCTGCTTAGACTGACCAGAAGGGAGTGTAGAGCACTAACAGGGGCCTACACAGCACATTGCAGGCTTAGGAGGCATCTTTGCTTGCTAGGCATTGGAGACGACCCGGAGTGTATGGTGTATGTGGTGCATGGAAGGGGAGGAGACCTCGTATCATCTGCTCACCGAGTGCCCTGCCTTGACATGGGCAAGATTGGGAGTCTTCGGAACGGCCCTGATCGATCCGGACTCAGTGCACGGTATTGGGCTAAAGGAGTTGCTGACCTTCTATAGGAGGGGCGCCATTCTGGACGCCCTTTAGAGCGGCCTGGGGGCACAACGGGCCCATCTGGTGGCCTAAGTGCTTGGACGCCCGCGAGGGCGCCCCCCTTTAATACCAATACCAATACCAATACACCTATTTTTATTAAGTAGTTAAAAACATTCGGCAATTTTCAATAATTACCTAGCAGGCTGTGCTTAACTCTGACTTATGCAGTTTTACGGTATCTATCTAGGTAGCTACGATGAGATAAAAACAATTTCCATGATACACCTCAAGTGTCAAAGCTATAAAAATGTTTGAAAACTATGAAAAGTACGACAAGATAAAATGTTATATTGAAAGTAACGAAAATCGACAGACGGCATTAAATCTATATTTCCAGAGATATCCGGAAAGAAGGCAACCTAGCTCAAAAATATTTTTGGTGTTAAAACATCATCTACTAGAATACGGATAATTTACAAACCGGCGGCCTAGGGCGCATAGAAGCCTAGCCAGACATAGTTTTAAGAACTAAAGGTTCTGGAATTCATAGAAATTAACCCGAATACTTCCACCAGGGCTATAGAGAGAAAAACTGGAATTCCACGCAGTAATAACGTGCGGGTGCTTAAAAAACAAAACTTTAGGCCCTATCGACCCCGACGGGTGCATCAATTACGGCAACGAGATTTTGCTCCAAGTGGTATCTAAATAAATGCCAAGAAGACCCCTATTTTGCCAGGAAAGTTATTTGGAAGGATGAAGCAACGATTTCTATTTTCTGTTACTGGAAACAGCAAAATCCCACATTATGGAGAAACAAGCTAATCAGGGAAGGTTCCGTTTTAAAGTATGGGTAGACATCTACAGAAAACAAATTATTGGACCATATATTTTTTATGGAAGTTTAAATGCCGAAAGATACCAACAAATTCTAGAAGAGCAGGTAATTAGGTTTATCGACAATTTTGCAAAATAATGAGCTATACTTTCCACATGGCGGTTCACCTGCTCACAATGCACGAGACATTACTAATTTGCTAAATAATGAGTTTGCCAAAAATTGGATAGGAAATAAGGGACCCCCCCAGGTCTCCAAACCTGACCCCTTGCGACTTCTTTTTGTGGGAAAGAATAAAAAATTTTGTATTTCGAAATCGCCGAACTACTAGAAGGGAATTGGAAGAGGCACTTCGTACTGCATTCAGGCAGCCTAGTGCAGCAGAACTTCCTGATACAGAAAACAGCGTCAAGAGAAGATGTAGGATATGTTTACAAGGAAACGGCCGTCAATTTGTGCATTTATTTTAGAATTAAAGAAACTTGTTAGATGTAGATTGTGTTACGTAGTTTATTTAACAAAAATTTTAAATAAAAAAAATGTATGTTTTTAATAATTTTATTTCCGTTTATTATTTTAGGGTTGGTAATTATTGTAAACTAGAAGTTAAAGTCCGAGGTTGCTGTGTCCCCTCGTGTCGTAGCCAACTTGAATTTGTATGAAATAAAAAAATAATAAAATTGTATCTACACATTTAGGACGCGCACAGCGCCTAATATGGTAAATATCAAAAATTGCAAATATCTTTTAAACTATCTAATAATAAACTGATTTTTAGAAAAATTGGGGTAAATATAACTTAATGTGGATATCTCGGAAACTAAAGGCTCTAAGACAAAACGGGTAAAATAGAGAGATTCCCGCTTAAAAAAACTTTAAAAAATGGTTTTTCCCAAAACTCTATTCTTACAATTAGAAAAGTGATAGAGGGCCTTTAGCACATTTTTGAGAATCACCCCGTAACTCAAAAACACCTCGGCATAACACGATGCGGTTTTCAGTTTTTGACTTCTCTCGAAAATCGGTATCGATATATGCATGTTATGGGCGAACTATGCTCAAAATGCTTAACTTAAAGTCATAGAGGCCCCTCGAATTTGGACCACCCTGTACAGTAGCGCACCTTCAAATTCTGTCATTATAGAAGATTGAGGACACAGGTTATAATTTGATCTATGATTGTGGCCATGTTTGGATATTACCTGACAAAAAATTATAAGAGATGAAAAAAATACAAAACTTGTCAATTATGTTCCTTATGTTGACAATATTTTCACAAAAATGTAGTGTTTGTTTATTAAACTTAACAGGCTCTGAAATCAACAGCCATTTTTTAAGTAAAGAGGACTTATTGTTTAGATTTGGCTTGATTTTGCATTGCGAAAAATCTACTTAAATGGATGTTTTACATTATTTTAATATTAAACGAATCGATTCAAAATCATTTTCTTGGTTGGTGCTGACAACTCTGATATACCGTAAACATACCATTAGTTGCTAAATTTTGATAACTAAATTTGGACAACTAGATCTTAGCTAAAACTTATCTCAGAAAATAAGTAAAGTAAACGCAAGACATTTTGAAAATGTGCATCAGAAAACACATTTTGCAACTTTTGTACTCGATAGCGCGCCATCTGCCACATTTTACGGGGGACACTGCGTAGTCGTCTTTTAAATGCAGAATGCGCTGTTTGGTCCACTCATTACACGTCTGGCGAAAAATTGCAAAATAAACTATTATCCATTCGGAATGATATTAAAAAATATACCTAGTCAGACACAAACGTGATTTTTAATTATACATTTACATATAATTATACGGCAGACTGCATTGTTACAAAAATAGCGGACAAGCAAGGCGACCTCCGAACGCGGTAAGACTATATCTTAAAGTATAGCACAATGATAATAATGAAATGGATATTAATCAGAACATTTAAGAGAGTTCGAAAAGTCATCAAAATGATCCACTAACAAATATATTGAAGCGAATAAGGTATATAATAGATAAAAGGCACCAATGATACGATAAGGAAAAGAAAGATGGTGCGCGAAAGACAAGAGTGGTATGGCAGGCAAGAGATAAATTGCCAGCCGCTACAATAGTCCCTAGGGCAACAAATAATATGAACTAAGATATAGATATAAATATAAAGAAAACAATCAGAAACCCCAAGAAAGACCTTCCGACAGTCTGATGTAAAGTACAAGCGACGAAGAAACTGCACCGCACTGCAGTCGTATAGTCAGAAAAAGAATTCACAATATCGGTTCGACTTTGTCGTACCAGTTCATTGAGGAACCTGCGTGTTCTGCCCGTGTAGAGCCTGGATAGTATATTTTATAGGTACACTTCTTTTGGATTTTTCCAGCAGACTTTGTCAAAATAAATAAGAACTAAAAGTTCAGATTTTCACGAAATTATATATTTTTACATAACAATTGTTTCGTGCCTTAATCAAGTGTAATATAAACTAATTGCTACTATAAATACTGAAAAATGACCGTAACACCTTAACATTAATTAAGGTTTTATGGTCATTTTTCGGTATATATAGTAGAAGGTGGTTTGTAAATATTACATTTGCTAAAGACACGGTGTTGTCTAAACAATGAAATTTTAGTTCTTATTTATTTTGATAAATCGATTTTCATCAAGTAAAATTATCAAAAATCAATTATTGACTTTGTCTTACTGACGTTTCGCTAAACAGGCTGCTGGCTTCTTTGGAGCATTGTTGTGATGAATTCTATAGACTACTAAGATGGAATTAAAGACATCTCAGCTGACTCTTATAGCCAACTCAGTCAAGATCTAACTGGTTAGATAGAGAGTAACATATATTTTTATGAAGCATTTTGAAAAACTAGCCAGAAATAACCCAAACTGTGAAAAATATATCTAGATGATATCGCGTCGGGAATCTCATCAATCCTTTCTGAATTTACAGTAAATCAGATTAAAAAAACATCATAAATCAACCAGACTTCGATATATAGAATTCCAGATTTAATTCAATAAGACCAAAATCCTTCTAGCACATTCTTCGATATATAGAATTCCAGATTTAATTCAATAAGACCAAAATCCTTCTAGCACATTCTTGCATCCATCCGCATCCGCGTCGGGAATCTCATCAATCCTTTCTGAATTTACAGTAAATCAGATTAAAAAAAACATCATAAATCAACCAGACTTCGATATATAGAATTCCAGATTTAATTCAATAAGACCAAAATCCTTCTAGCACATTCTTCGATATATAGAATTCCAGATTTAATTCAATAAGACCAAAATCCTTCTAGCACATTCTTGCATCCAAAAAAATTCCCTAAAGATATCATCAAAGATCCTAATAACATAAACCGCAACGCAGGTTTCCATCTCTCGTCCGTTTGGGAAGCAATTAAACCGCCTTCCCCAACCTTTATGTATATAAGGTGTATGTAGAATAAGCTGCCCTCAGTTTCAGAAAAGTCAGCAAGACAAACTTCGTAGGAGAAAAATATGGAGTGCACCTACAATTTCCACAGTCGCGGAAGTTTCTTTAAGAAAAAAAGTATAAAATCTGTCAAAACGAGAAGACGGTAAATGGTCGCATGATCTTAGTAGTATATATTGTAATTAAAATATTTTCATCTCTGTTCTATGTTTCTTCGGTTTCCTTCTACTTTGACCGTACACTTTCATGACAATCAAGGAACATCCGACGTCAAGGTAAACCACCGATAATAATAGCAAATATTTTAATTAGGTTAACTAGAATGCGGTGAAACTTGACGACTCCGGTTAAATTTACCCGCACTTACGACTGCACGGATATACACCCCGGACCCCTCACCCTCGTAATTCAAACAATTCCCTTTGTTTATGACACAAAGTGGAATTGCCAGGCTCGTTTGGGTGGTCGCGACTACATTGGCGTGTAACTTTCGGGTCCAATCTGGCACTAGGCCCATATATGAGGGCAATTAAACGTAACGAATTGCGTATTTAGAAGTCGTTCGGCGGAACTAAATGTAAAATCAAATTCCAAAGTTAATGGGGATTAATTGATTCGTATTATAGCGATAGTTGCTTGGCGGTACACTAAAAACGAACTCAAAACTTAAAAAAACGTTGCAAAACCTGCAATTTTCGCTCTCGCCTATGAAGTGCTAAAATTTTAAGACTTATTGTTCACTTTTAATTTTGAAACGATTACACATGAACAACCTTAAAATAATACGAAAGATACTACCCCATGTTTAAAATGAATCCAAAAAGTCAAAATAAAGGTAGCATCAAAGTTGTTTTCTATAGAAATTTTCATTGAAGGTAGCGAAGACCAAAAAATAACTAATTTATTTTTCAAAAAAATTTGACTAACGACATCAAAAACTTAAAATATTTATTTTTCAAAAAACCCACAATATCTCCTTAAAATCTTAATATCGAATTAACTTAATCAACCGCAACTCTGGAGGACTGCAGTAGTAGAGTTATGGCTAATAATTGTGGGGTCCCTCAAGCTATTGGCAAATATAGCAAAAAATTATTTAAAAGGATACTACAACTGGCAATTAAATAACAAATTAAAAATATACATTGAAAAACGAAATAGAGTTTATTTAAACAAAAAAAAATAATTACTGTAACATTAAGATAAATGATTTTACTTTGGAAAGAGTTGACAAAATAAAATATTTGGGGCTTATGCTTGACGAGCATCTAAATTGGAATGCTCACATAAGTCATATAATATAATATAAAAATAATATAAAAAAAATTAATTAAGTAATTAAATCAACCTTAATGATTTGTCTAGATGCATTTTAATGTTTCCTTTCAAATTGAGTATTTAAAACAAATTTAAAACTAATTTTGATTATTATTTCTTCCAATTAAGATGGGTCAAAAAATAACTGAAAAAAAAAGTAGAACAAATGTTTTTGGAGAAAAAAAGCAACTTTTTCTAATAAATTTTTTGATATTTTCAAAACTAACCTCAATTTTAAATATTTTTTTATTAGAAATGGCAATTTTAACAGATAATAAAAATATGTATAATAAATAATAAAAAATGTTATATATAACGAAAAACTCAGTTTTCTAAATCAGGTGGATTATCACCAACAAAACTCAGTTCAACTTCAAGGATCGTTTAAATCGACATAATCAGAATGTTCTTCAATGCAACGTATTTCCTTAACAATTTATTGATATTCTTATATATTCTTTTTAAACAATGGCCATCCACAGACAATTTGAATTGAAGGGAAGAGAAACGCAGTCCCTACATTTTCCGTTTAAATCGACATAATCAGAATGTTCTTCAATGCAACGTATTTCCTTAACAATTTATTCATATTCTTATATATTCTTTTTAAACAATGGCCATCTACAGACAATTTGAATTGAAGGGAAGAGAAACGCAGTCTCTACATTTTCCAAGAATAAAGTGTTCCTTCTATAAAACTTCCTTCCAAATTTAAAATACGGTGCAACGTGTAAAATCTTAACCGCAAATTATTTTTTAAACATGAGCTTATTAAACTCGGTTTAGTGAAAACATTCATGCAACAGCCCGTTAAAAACACACAAATATATTTATGAGCTAAAAAAAACACACACACACATTACGGCCAGTCAGACTAACCTATCTGCCTTCTTCGGTTTTTCTGGCCCGGGGAACCACCGGAACTGTGCCAACTGTGCGGTCGCCTTTTCGGGGTACCCGAAGGGGTACACCTTGAAGAACATGGAGAACCACGCGACATCGACATACTCTATGAATTTAAAATGTCGGGAATGCCATCGCATAGCTTCGAATGGCGAAATGCATTGCTTGGCTGATGACCGACGGGTTCGAAACTTTTTAAAAGAAGTTACTCGAGTTTTACTTGATATACGATATTTCTGTCTATTTCCGCGGCGGCGGATCTATCGATTTCGACGCCGATTTCCCCCTAAACCAGTTTCTCGTAATATCAGCCCCCGTGGAATTCTGCGAAACGGCCAACACGAACCGGCGACGAATCGGACTTATTTTCGGAACGTAGGTCAAAGTCCCGCAGGACACCGCCGTCGGGGTAGGTCGTATCAAAAATGGGTTAAAAATAAAAACCGTTCCTCCCGTAGTACAAAAAAAAAATGCTTTTTTTATTGACGATAAATGATTTTAATGTTTAAAAGCAAAACTAAATGGGTTTCAATTTTTGTGAAAAACAACTCAGTATTTCTGTTTTTTCTGAAAAACACGTCAGAGTTTTGGGAATTTATGATTTAAAATCACAACTCTGGTTGGTTTAACCGTATTTAAATCTGTCAAGATAATAAAATATCTAAACTAGCATTTGAGGTTGTGATTACTGCATCGTCCGTGTACGCAGTAAAAAAAAATGAACAAAAGCGGCCTCACTATGCTTCCTTGAGATACTTCACTGATAACTGATAAAAAATCATTAAAATTCTCCTGATTGTTATTCTTGATGCTCCCGATAGTTAAGGAAATCGGTTCCCGTTCTCATCAATAAAATAATGTGGTTGTTTTTTATGACTTTCCATGCTGTTTGGGAAACATTATTTGATGTGGGGAACAAATTAGCGTAATAAATTTGCTTAGAAGTTTTAGTTTTTTGCTCGGGAAGATTTTTCTGGTTTTGTACGGTGTTAATACATTCTTGTATAATTATCATTTAAAGATATCTCGAAGATCTTGCCTCAGTTAGTTTCCTCGACAGCCATGGCTTACAATAGATTGGCTTTTTAGTAAAACATTTCTACAGGGGAAACAAGATACACACAGCGTCTTGAAAAACAGTTTAAGAACCTATCAAATTCTATATCCAAAGGACAACGCATTCACAAAAATCATTAATATTGCTTTTCCGAGTAAAAAAACGTTTGAAATAGAACGATTTTTGGTGGTGGGTAGATAAGCAAGGAAACTGCAAAAAATGATCAGAAATATCACAAGAAACTACACTGGCTCGTATCGAATGTACATTGAATGTAGTGCATATATTATCAATAGTAGATCTTTTGTTGTTGTCAATTCTTCTGTAATCATTAATGCTTTTATTGACTCCAAGGCTTGAAAATATGTGAATAATTTTTAATGCGTCTTTAGATCACGCATTTTCAAAATGGACGTCGGACGTCTCCACATATAAAAGCTAAAATTGATGGCTTAATTGCCTTATGCAACAATTCATCCAACATTTATATAAAAAATAACGTTTCCCGCGAAGGTATCCTATTTAAGAGGCCAATAAGATACTTTTGATAATTTACTATTGGGAGTAATATTAATTTCGTTAAATGAGCAATCCTTGAGTACAAAAATTGCAACCACCGCTTGAATCAATTTGTGAGAGAGTTTAAGTAACAATAAGATTAAGTTTACCGTGCGACCAACACTGGTCAATGGTTCAATATTTGAAAACAATATTCTAGCTAGCTAGCTAGGGCACCAAGCTACGAAGGCGAAGAAAAGCCACCGAAAATAAAAAACGTAATAATTTTTCTGAAGAACAAAGCAGAACTTCTGGAAAACATTTGAGACTAACTAAACTCAAACGTTTGAAAAAAAAAATTTCTGACCAAATAATATTCAGTTTAATAAGCTAAAAATTTGGTTAATTTATAATGTAAGGGCCCTACATTTAAATGTCTTCTTAACCGCAGTGGTCGGAAGAACGATCTATGAAAAAAACATATATTTTTTCAACTATGTTTCTATTATCACCCAAAGAACTTGGAATTGCCGGGGTCTGTTAAATCAAAAATCATTCAATCTATCTAATTTTTTCATTGCGATTTTGTTCTTAGAATTAGTGTTACGGTTTTTTTTTTGCTTCATCGGTTCCTCTGAAAAAATCCTACGACTTATTAATAAAGGACGGTATTGTCAAATTATGGACAAGAAATTCTTGAATTAAATTGGAAGATTATTGCTCAAAAAATTTACAATAGGAATTACAGGTAAAATAAAAGAATCAATACAGTGAGGTTTCCAAAAAAAATGCTAGTTTCACGGATGTAAAATAACCTATATGTTGTTTCTTTAAACAAATTTTTGTAATTTATTCTTGTTATGACAATTACATATTTTGATTTACGGGCTGTTACGCTTACCCCACCTCAAAAAGGATTGGACTAAGCTTCAGGGAAAAAATTATGACACGAACATTAGAATATTCCATAAATTCTTTATGAACTACGCGCATCACCGTACACGGGGAAAGTTAATAGATGGAATGTTAAAATTCAAGATGAAAATTCTGAAAGCTAGAACTTTCACAACACTATTGATTGATTGAAGTTTAATTATTTTATTTAAATCACTAGAAAAATCCGACTTCGAAAAACTCAGACTTATCAATTTATCAAAGAAACTTCCACAGGCTACTGTAATACTTTTTACAAAACTTCTGCATTCCTCCTGCGTCGGTTTTTGCTGAGTCGAACTAACGTTTCGCCAATCATCCCGTTGACTTCTTCAGAGCTTGACTGAACCTGGCTCACATTTTACTCTGCACCTGCTTATATATTGTCTGAGGGGGGCGGAGCTAAATGAGGGGGGCATAAACACGGTCTTGGATGATTGATTCCCATATTGGTGACAGGTAGACCTGAGTCGCGGTTAAGATTGTTAGGTTGTTTATATACACTCTCGGATTTTTGGTTGGTAGAAGAATTGATTACATGCAGGTTACAGTTTATATGTCTTAGTCTTGAGGCTCTTTTGTTCTTTGAGCCTAGTCTCTCCAATGACCCATATGCATGGAATGCAGTAAAACTCCAGCCATCGCAAATGGAAATTTGTCTGTCAAAGACATCAGTCATCCGAGACAACGTGCATGCCCCTCATTTAGCTCCGCCCCCCTCAAATAACATATAAGCAGGTACAAAGTAAAATGCGAGCCAGTTTCAATCAAGCTCTAAAGAAGCCAACAGGATGATTGGCGAAACGTTAGCAAGTTGGACTCAGCAAAAACCGACGCACGAGGAATCCAGATGTTTTGTAAAAAGTAAACTCAGACTTGTTTGAAAGATAAATGTCACTGATTTCAAATATTCGTTGGTACTTAATAATTAAAAAAAAGATTTTGGAAAAGTATATGTATTGCCAAAAAAATCTGACAAATCTGCGGACTTCCCGTTCTTGTAAAGAGACAAATAAAACTAAAAAGTTGTAAAAGTGACCAAATAATACCGACTAAGTGTACACATTTATGAAACAAATTACCAAAAACAAAAATTTTAATAAACGTGGCAAAAATTCGAAAAATCAAACAATTATACAAAAAACATTTTGCCGCCAGTATCTATTTCCCTCGTCAGTTCCAGTTCGTGCCCAGAATTTTGACCATTCGATGCGACAATACGAATTTTTTACAATTGTTTAAATAATTATTTCACTTAACATAACTATGAACCGAAAATTGAAAATGCAGAACTTAATTATCCTCATCCGTTCGCATTTGAAAAAACACTTTTCAAAATTTTCGTGCAGTAATTAATATTTTCTCTAATTGATTCACCGGAAAATAAAAATATTCGTTAAATTCGTTCCGCATTAAGCAGTTCCGTGGGAAAGTTTTAATTTTATCCCGACACTCTCGACGCTTTTCACTTTAACGGGATATGGACGGGAGGGGCGAGGAACACATATCGATTAATGCTTTGAATTCCAAACCGCATCACCGACCAGAAGAAGAAAAGGCCAAATTTGTATTCACCCCCACGGTTCGGTTTATTGGAAACGTTTTTTCTGTATCCAGCACTCCAAAGCTTAAAAGCACAGACGGAATTAAATTAGGAATTTGTTATCTTAATCTACCCCGGATTCTTTGGGATTTCGTGGCCATGGAAAACCACGTATTTTTCTATAATACAGTCGCCTCGAATACGAACAGAGCGATTTTATCGAACCTCTCAAATAATAATAATAATACCTGTCCCCTACATAATTATTATCTCTAAATACTTTGATAAGCTGCTAGGTACTAAACTATAAAAGAACAACAATAAGTATATCAAGTGAATCTTTCCAAAATTTATTTACTTGACAAGAATATAACAATCTTTTTTGGCAAATCAAAAGTTTGAAAATACTATTTACAAATCTTATGGATTCCTCCTGCGTCAGTTGCCAAAAATATATTTTTTTCAATTACTTTTACTGGGAACTTTCCAAGTAAATGGCCAAAATAATTCCAAAAACCTGAAATTCATTAACATTGGGGCATTTGTTAATATTCTCATAAATTATGTCTTATATTTCTTATTAATCCATATTTTTATAGTTTATTGCTTCATGTTAATTAGACTTAGATCAATCAAAAAAAGTTAACCTTGTTTTAGTTTAAGGCCGCCCCAAATTCGTGGATATTAAATAAAAGCGTTGACTCAGTGTACTTCCTTTTTTTATTATTTAAATTCACACTTCGTAAAAAGTTAGGAACAAAGTTTTTTTTACTAATCTTTGTAAAATAATTGTAAATCTCTTCCGTAAAATGCGAATTGAGAAAGGTTCACATAAATTAAAAATTTTTTCACTTTTCACACAGTCAACATAAACAAAATTGTTTAGGCGAATTCAGACTTTTTTGTAAAGTAAAATAAATTTCATGTAAAAAATTATTCCTAACAATTTTGTGAATTCACGCTATCTGAACTAGAAAAACTAAAATTTATAGTTTTCTTAAGAAACTTTGCAAAGAACATTTTTTACAAGAACAAAATTTCATAACAACTTGTAATTTCGAATTTTTTATACATATAAAAGGTAAGATTCTTTTTTTTTACGAAAATATCTTTTACAAACCTGAAACTAATTAAATGCAGTTTAATATGGATACAAAAATAAACGAAATTTAACAAAGTACGGAACACGTAAATATATTCGCCATATGTTCCTGCGTCGTGACAAAATATTTATTTTCGTTAACTTGATTAATAAACTTTACCTTCGT